GAGAGACGTGGAGCCGGATATTTGATAGCTCATCGAGCCATTTTTCCTTACGCTATGCGGATGCGATGGCATCGTTTACTTGGTCAACTAAGACGTCAGCGTGCAGCAAAGTGTATTGCTAAAGCTGTTTGTAACTGGTTCGGCGTCAAAGGGAGACGTGAAGCTGCACGAGTTAAGCTGGTTAATGAGTGGATGTTACTGGTACAACGCGAGAATGAACGTTCGCGCTGTGCTGCTGTGCTTATCCAAAAACAATTACGAAGGTGGATCCAGCAACGCAAGTATCTCATGGCTCAAGCTAGACGTAAGAAATTTGCTAGACGGACTCGACTTGCAGAGAAAACTCGTAAAATGGAGCAATTGCAGCAGAAAAATTCAGGATGGCTGGGTGTGGACAAGAGAACGCTTGAAGCAGGGAGTTCGCCTACTCGAATAATAACACTACTGAAGCCAAACCAACTTAAGGAGTATGATAATTCTAAAGGTATTCATAAGACTGAGGTGAAGGCAGCGATAGTCATTCGATGTTGTTATCGTCGATATCGCACAAGACGACGAGTCCAGTTGAAAAAGTGGAGGAATGAAGCATACAAAGTGGATATCCGTGTACTAAGGAGACACAAAGCAGCTACAGAGATCCAGCGACGTATTCGTGGTATTCATGGCAGAAAAATCGCTCGACAGCGTCGCGCTGAGCGTCTTCTTCTGCGTTTCGTTCTCCAATGGCAATGGAGACGCCTTCAAAAGCGTCAACTTGCTGCACGTAGAATTGGTCGCTGGTTCAAACACAAGAGAACAAAACGTCTTGCTAAACTTTGGCGTATTGAAAAGCAAAAGCGACTGGCAGATTCCACTCGAATACAACAATGGTATCGTGTTCGCTGTTTGTTACCATCACGGTTGAGGTGTGTTCTGCAGATCGTCAGAAGACGGGACGAGACGCTGGTCTTCTGTGATCAAAGCCTCCGACTGTGTAAACAACACATGGCTGATGAATTCGTAGTCCAGTCGTTCAATTCCAGTCTTGAAGACGCCTTACGTCCACTTCTATCTAACACATCACGGTCGCCTACCAGATCGAAAACCTCACCAACAAAGCAAAAGGTGGCAAGTGGCAAGCACTACCCTAATGTCGTGAAATTCCCGCTTCTTCAAATGATGTTCTTGGTTGCAAGTGGTTGGAAAATGCCATTTGTATGGCGCGAATTGGATGGGAAAACATTGTTTCTAACCAAACTGGAACGTACTAAAGCTGTTTCGTTCTTTCGGTCGCTCACCAAGCACAGAAACCCAGTAGCTCATCAGATCCAACTAACTCCCGGTGTTGAAACTAAGTCTCCTACTCGTCGCAAAAAGCCTGCTAAAGGATCACCAACCAAAGGATCAAGAGGAGTGGAAACATTCTCGTCCGTGGATGTTGATGTAGCAGTGGCAAGAGCCACTGGAGGAGCGAAAGGAGCTCTAGATTTTGCGTCATTCGTGCGGGTTATAGGACAACTGGGTGAGATCTCACTAGCCCAGAGTGCGTCTGGGTACTGGGGTCGATTCGATGGTACTGAAGCGTGTGTGTTGGCTTTATCATGGAATTCTCTGCTGTCGCACTCGTCGATGCAGCCTTTAACACTTCAGTTTGAAACCTTCGTCTCGGACGAATTATCTCGCCACGCCTTATACCTTCAAAAACTTTTCGCTTGGCAGCATTATAAATTACGGGGTAAAGTAATTCTCGTTGAAATGAGGCGTAGTCTACGCAATCAGGAACTCTCTCGCGCTGCTGTGGTGATTCAAACTCAGGCTCGAAAACTATTAGCACGACGTGAACTACGACGCCGGATGCAAGAAACGTACGAGAAATTCTTGGATCCAACGTGGGGCTTACCCTACTGGATGAATCCTCGCTCCGGTTACTCAACATGGCAGAAGCCAAGAGTCTTGGGAGCTCAAGATGTTCAATATGAACCTGTACCATTTCCTCCTCCTGAACGCACGCTGAAAGCCCCTTGTAATGGACGTAAAGACTGTGAACGATGCGCTGAGTGGGTATGCTACGACTGTGATGAATACTTCTGTCTTCAGTGCTTTACGGAGTATCATAAAGCTAAGGTTATCCCCAATACTACTGAACATTCGAAGGATAATAGCCTTAAGAGTATTGAGTCACCGAATGAAAGTGAACAAGATGATGATACGCAGTCATCTATCAAGCGTGAACATGAGCTGGAGCGTCTTTTACTGTGTGGACTGTGTAAATTCCAGCTCGCGTCACGCCGTTGTCTCGACTGTATTCCAAACCCTAAATCGAAACCATCGGTAAACCCTAATTCGTCAGATTTCGGGAAGAAGCAGAAGGAGGCCAAATCTATTGAAGCTACCAACAACAGTGATGAAGAGCAGCTTAGAAATGAATCATTGTTCTGTGACGTGTGCTTCGGATTCTTACATCGTCGCGGTGGTCTTAAAACCCACCGCACGGAGCCTCTTCTTGAACTCTGCACATCTTGTGTCCCTGACGATGAAGACGACAAACGCACTGCCTTACATCAGTCAGTTTTCAGCATTATTGGCGCTGGTGATGCCGTTCAATGGGAATGTGAAGCGTGTGGAGATTCTCCTCGTCGAGTGTGTGGGCGTTGTGCTCTTCAGTCCCATCCAAAAGAAAGTTGTGGCGAACTTCGACCGGTGCCACTACAAACATTGGGCCGACAACAGCGAACCAAGCGACTTCGTGAAGAGCAAGAAGCTCGAGATCGTGCTGATCTGGATAAAATGCGTGCTAGAGCCTTACGAGCTCGGCAAGAGCGGTGTGTTCGAAAGATACAGACATTTTGGTGCTCTCAAGCTCCAATTCTTCGAGCGAGACGTCTTGCGGCTGCTCGACGCAAATACATTAGTGAACAATGGCTGCGTCGCCAGGAAGATGCTCGACTAGCGAAACGAATAGCATATCGAGCAAAAAATGCCTTTGGAATGGCTTCGCCTCTGAAATCTGATACTCCAGTGGAGCGACGACTGCGTAGTTTACATGTTTTGGCACGTCGACAATTGTCCATTCGTGCGAGGTTCTTTGGACTGCTTATCGAAGAATATGCGACTGTGGGGGTTCCATTGCCAGGAATTGGTTTGCTCTATCCAGGATCGAATGAAATTTGGACTAGTGAAGACCTTCGGGGATGGATACGCAATCGACAAACTATAAGGTTTAAAAGGCTAACTACGCAACAATCGCAGCCTGCAGAGAGAGCGCTGTGTGCATGGAGACAACTGGAACAATGGGGCAAAGAAGAAAGTGAACTCGATGTATCTGATGAAATAGAGAAGGGTATAGAAATTCAGTCTGAAACTACAGATACGACGTGGCTGGCGGAGGTTCATCCAAAACAAGCAATTACTGAAAGTATCATTCCCTTAGCACTGCCGTATGGCCCAGTGTTGCCCAAAAAGGAGCGACGGAAGGCAGATGAAGATGTGGTGGAGGATGTACCGGTAGCAATGTTTCTTGTGGAGTTCTCACTGGATCCAAAGCGAACCGTGTGGATTAATCACTCGCTGTACGTATTGTTTAATAGATTTGAAAGGTTTAAGCGGATGCTAACAGCGCCTGTATGTGTATTTTGTTGGGCAGCGCTGAGCGATTCTGGGAGTGGAAAAGGCTGAAGCTGCTGGCTCGAAGTGAGAGGGCAGCACAGCGCCAGCGAGCGAAGGAATACGAGAAACAGCAGAAAGAGAATGAGGAAAAGCGAAAGCAGGAGGACGAGATGAAACGCGAGGACACGGCCATTGTAGTTGACATCCAAGATCCAGTTCCGAGTGATGAAGCTTACGGAGGCATTGACCAAGCGTCAAATGTTGCTGCTTTAGAGCAAACGTGGCCTGCACCAACTCAAACGTGGACGACGAATGAAACGGTTATGGATCTTTACCACAACTACAATTCCTACCCTTCAGCTAATCCTTCCGAGACTACTGCTACTTGGACGGGATACGATGGGTACTCAACAGCATATCCAACTGGCTATGACTATGGGTATGACTCTAGTTTAGTAGAGTCATATTCGCCTGCACTGGACGAAGGAGCAGTGGGTCTCGTTGATAGTGGGAACTATTACGCCAATGGAGAATACATTGGTGGCGGTAACGATGCGGACACTTCGAACTGGTACGGAACAGAGTACAGCACCTATGACATGTCCAACTACAGTCAAATGCCAACCGACTATGGCTACACGAATGACAGTAACAACGGTGCATATTCAGCCTACGACTCTGCCGCGGGCTGTGCCGAGTCGCAACCATCGGTCGACCCCAACGCCACTTGGTACGCGAATGGGGGAGACTCCAACTATAATTCAACAGATCAATGGCAGCAAAACTACTACTCTCAAGCTCAAGAGCAGGATCAAGCATCGGATAGTTATCCCGGTGCAGCGAGCAGCTCTTCGTACGACGTCAACGGCTCTAACTACAGCATCGAAATGCCCTCAGCAGATAGCTACTATTATCCTAACGGAGAAGATCAGACATACTCCACCCCGCAGTCCAGCATTGCCACTCAATGGGAGGAAGTGTTCGACCCCACCACGCAGCAGACATACTATGTCAACCGAGTGACCAACGAGACAGCATGGTTGATCCCACCGTAACTTATTTTATTTTGAAAAAAATGTTTTCTTGAGGGTCGGCCAGCCTTACAAATTCTAAATGTAATACTAGTACTTTTTTCACTAGCTTTAAATATTTTTTCTTAATTGAACATGGCTATATTCTCACACATAACTGTCACTAAACTGAAATGCTCATACTGACATCGCAGTCAAGGCCAACCAATTCCAGCCATTGCTCAATAGCTCGTCACTTTGGTTGACAGCCTCTGTCTGTATACACCGAGCTACTAGCTGCCATGGCCCGTAAGAGCAGTGGAGCACGCAAAAGCCGCGCCGTCAGTGCGCTGGTGCGCGCTGAGGACGCCGCAGAGGAGGAAATCCTAGAGACGCCGGCGCTGAGCTCGGCTGCCGCTGTGGCTGTGGCTGACGACTCCAGCGACGAGGAGAGCGAGGCTGAGGACGCCGAGGCCGAAATTGAGCGCCGTTTGGTGGCTGAAGCACAGGCCGAGGCTGAGGGCGCCAAGCGCGAGAGCAAGGGCGTATACAATAGAGAAGCGCTACTGGCGCTAGTCAAGGACTGGGATGCCAAGCCGCTGCCATGGGTAGAGACTCTAGACACTTGCGCTGTGCCACTGGAGCTCGAGAGTGTACACGACGATCTGAAGAGAGAGGTGGCATTCTATAACAACACACTGGCCGCTGTACGTCTAGCCAAGGATCGACTTAAGAAGGAGGGTGTGGCTTACAAGCGACCGGACGATTACTTCGCCGAGATGCTCAAGAGCGACGCGCACATGGCCAAGGTCAAGGATAAGCTCATTTACGAGCAGAAGAAGATCACAGCTGTGGAGGAACGTAAGAAGTCACAGGCTCACCGTAAGGTAGCCAAGGAGATTCAGGCCGAGAAGATCAAGGAGCGTAACCAGCAGAAGAAGGATACACTCGAGGCTGTTAAGCAGTGGAAGAAACGCAAAGGAAATGACAAGCGTGGCGGCCTTAAGGACGATGATGATACCGAACTGGACTCGATTGTCAGTGGCAAGCGGAAGCATGCAGGTGGCGATCGTGACGGCGCTAACAAGAAGCCTCGCGTCAATAAGGCACGTGAGGCTAGGAACGCAAAGTTCGGCTTCGGTGGCAAGCGTCGCCACGCTAAGAGTAACACTAAGGAGAGCACTAACGACATGTCGTCTTTCCCTGGTGCCCGTAAGGCCAAGATGAAGAGTCAGGCTGCAGCTAAGGGTGGCAAGCGTGCCGGTAAGGCCCAGCGTGCCAACCAACGCAACAAGAACAGGCGGTAAATGGCCTGATTGGCGGTTAGTGAGCGTACAAAAGACAGAGAGATGTTCCGATGCGGGCTTGCTACGCCGCTTCTAGATGATAAAAGAGCTCCATATTTTTTTTTAGCAATATTGAGTGTTCCGTTCTCATACCTACTGATATTGTCAATTGCAATTGCAATTGCACACTACCAGAAGCAACTAGGTGTTGTTGAAAACTGCAACTAATTTCACGGATTATTGAACCGTAGAATACTCAGCCTATGGCTATCATGGACATTTCTTCTGCCTCTCTCCGTCAAAACGGGATGTTATTCTGCTGCATGAAGGCCAAAAGCATTTGTCGCTCGTTCGGCGGCAGCATATCCAGTTTTTGCGGGGTCATATCGCGCGCGAGTTCGGCGATGGCATCGAATTGTCCAGAGGGTGCAGCTTCGCTGGGTTTGGCTCGCTTCGATGGGTCGTTCTCTCCAGGTGTCGGCATCAGTCCTGGTTGTTCATTGGGATACGGTCTCTTCGCCAAACGTGGGTCTCTTCCTGCACGTCTCGGATCCCGATTCGCATGCGCCAAATTACTACTGGGGGGACCACTAGGCTGAGGTGCGCCTGGTGGTGTGGGCATTAAACCTGGCTGTGGTTGGGCGTGCATTGGGCTCGTAGAAGGGATACCAACTCCTGGTCTATTAGCCATAGCAGCACTAGCCCCCTGAGTGGCCAAAGGTCCAGGACGAGCACTCCAACGAGTACCACCAGACTTGGTTGGTGCTGAAGCAGGATGAGGAGCCATCATAGCGGGTTGGACACCGGGAGGTGCCAAGCCCAGAATGCCAGGCCCAGGCCCCATGGGTCCACTCATCGGTGGACGTGGAGGAGGCGGTATCATCCTTCCAGCCATCGGTGGAGGCTGGTGCATCATAGGAGGAGGAGCCAGCAGCACTGGCTGAGTCTCGGTGGACGACGGAATGGGGATCTGAAGCGTCTTGAAACTCTGGACGATAGCGTGAGTGAGTGCTGGGTTCGCCATCAAGATGCTCTTGGTCACTTCCGGTTTCTGTCTTGCATGTTCTTTGAGTTGCACTAACATGTCGTAGAGTTTGACAGGTCCCAAACGAGCTATCGCCGACTCGATGGAATGGATCGCCATTTCCCCCGTCACCATCGTCGGAGGGCCCCCATCCGCTCCGTTTCTGAAGTTTCCTCCGCCAGAACCTGGACGTGTGTTGCCGCCATTGTCGTGTCGTTTCCTCTCTGCACTGTTGGATTTATCCCCGCCGTCGGCAAAGTCCACGCGGAGATTCCGGCCGTTGATCTCGTATCCGTTGAGGTTGCGCATGGCACTCAGAGCCGTCGCTCCGTCCGCATACTCACAGAAGCCATAGCCCTTGGGTTTGCCGGTCTCTCGGTCTGTCACAAGCCTGTAATAGCATAAAAATTAATATTTACATGGCTTGAGCTCCGACCACGATATTTGCAGCAATTCTAAGGTGTTTTTGGCAGCTTACGAACCGAAAATTCATGACTGAGCCTGCCTCCGAGAAGATTTCCTTGAGCATGTCCTCCGTCACATCGTATGGGATGTTTCCGACTGAGAAGTTTGAATGAAAGCATCAAAGGAGTGGACAGCACGGGCAAATTGATGTTAGAGGCGACTGGAGGGGGGTTGAGAAGCGGAAAAAGCTGAGGAAGGCAACTGAGACGCAACTGGAGAAGATGGCGCAGGTTGCACTCAGTCTGGAGACGTACCGAAGACGCTGCGCTCCTTGGCGGAGCTCGCACGGGACTTATTGCTCATGGCGCGAACTTTTTGGAGCACTGGAGGGATCACGCGCTCTTTAAGTGTCGTACAACGCTCTAAAACCGTGGAGCCGAACCTGCCTGGGAGCAGTTGTGTGGACCCCACAGTATTGGTGGTGTCATCTAACAACGAGAAGCTTGAAATAAGTCCGAAACAGATGACTCGATTTCAGTAAGAGGCTTGTTGAAGTGATCCAAACGTGAAGATCATGTGAATATGAATACCCTCGAATTCGTTGTCACACAATATAGGGCTACTTGTATCTCCTAGTGAGATAGTGGTAGCGCCACTCTCTCGGGCCTGTAACGCCAGCAGCTAGTGCCGACAGGACTCCTCGACGAAGGAAACACCGAATAGCATCTGCCTCAGGTCTTGAAGTTTTTGCAGCTGTTCTAAATGTGTACTCGGTGTCTAGCCGGTTTTACCGGTAAGTACTCGTTTTTCATCCGGTTTTCCAATTTAATTTTGAAAATTTGTCTGTACTCGGGATTCTGCTTCTTGTACTCGAAAACCATCTCCTTTCGGAAACCAAGACGGGAGGGAACGCTAAACGTACAGCACTGCATTTTGGCAGGTGGTGTCCCGATTCCAGCGGTTACCGTTCCGAAAATCGCTCCAGCACCGGTGTAGCATGCGACCACAACGGCATTGCAGCCCGATCGACAGATGCCGTACGCAAGCAGACCGGCGTTGACCTCGGGTGGAGAGGCAAGTGCCAGCACCAACGCGATAGCTAGCTTCTTCAACATTGGCGACGGGTTCAGTTCTTTCTCTTCTTGGGCAAAATGAAGAATGAGCTGAGAGAATATATTGTTTTTAAAATACAACAACAGCCATAACAGTTTGTTCAGGTCTGCGTACATACCGAAGCATGTGTCATTACCGAAGTTCGAGGTGACGTTACAAAAGTGCGAGAATCGCTGTCACTCTTTGGAAAACAGCTGTGTTTGTACACTTTTTAGCCAATCACAATCGTCAAACTACATTTGGATTTTGCAATTTCAACTGCAACAAATAATTTTCTATCCTTCCACGCTCGGTCGCTATGATCTCGTCATTTTCGTTTTGTTGCCATGAGCAGCAAGCGAAGAAAAAAGAGCGATCCGCCTGATGAGGAGAAGTCGAAGCGTCGCCGTTCACAGAGAATTGCTGAGCCTACGCGACAGAAGACAGCTTCAGATGACAGAACTGCCGATCAGCCTGACGAGAAGAAGCCTAAGAGTCGACGTACAAGCAGAACTGCCAAGTCTGCAGAGCAGAAGACAACCACAAACGGGAGAGTGCTCGTTCAACCATCGACGTGGTTCGATCCTGCGGTGGCGAAAGATCTCTGGATGCCAGATGCGGATTCGTTGCAAGCGGTTGAGAAGAACTCGCATCATCCACCTCTGGTAGATCCATTGCTCACGTCGTGGTTCGACGTCACCAATTTCACCGATGTGTTCAGAGCGACTCCGTGGAGAACGATGCGTACACCGTCGTTCGAAGATCTGCAGGAAGATCTACGCGCGCTGGGAGAGTTAAGTGAAGAGAGCAAGTCTGTCAACAGTGTTATCAAGATTCGCTTGTATCCAACTACGCTTCAACGCGGGAAGCTGGAGCAGATGTTCGCTGCGAATCGCGCCGTGTAAAACAAGCTGGTTGCTCGCTCCAAAGAAGATCGCGCAATGCGACTCGTGCCGCGGGGAAACTCCGACAAGAACAAAAAAATGACTTCGGACGAGCTGGCGGATAAGTATCGACCAATTGCTAAAGAGGGAACGATGTCGCCGTACTTCCGAAACAAGAAAATGCTGCGACGTTATCTTGAGGTCAATGACGAACCGCGAGGTTCCGCGTTTCGCGATTTCAAGAAGGCGATAAAGTCGTCTTTGGCACTGTTTTTCGCGTTGAAGAAGAAGAACAAGAATACTACGTTCCCCGAGCTCAAGTTCAAGAGCAAGTTTGCGCTGTCCAACACGATTGAAATCCATTCCAGATCAATCAAAAGCATTTGCAAGAACGACAAGAAGTATGTGCGGTTTCATCGTCATTTCTTTGAATTTAACGAGCATGACATGATCGAGCTGACTGAAGAACTTCCTGAGCTCATAAAGGCGATTCGACTCCAGTGATTGCGGGAAGGAGAATGCTATGTCGTGATCCCTCGTCTTGTCAAGTTCAAGCAAACGAAGTCAAATCGTGTGTGTGCGATTGATCCCGGCGTTCGCAACTTTGCGACTATCTACGATCCCGACGGTCGCACGATCAGTGTCAAAGACACATACACCGTGCTCAAGCGGCGTTTCGACGCTATCGACGCCATGAAGTCGAAGCTCGCGCTGATGGACAACGAGAGCAAGGCGAAACACGAAACGATGATTCGACAAGGAAAGAAGACGAAGGAGAAGAAAAAGACGCAGCTTCATCGTGAGCGATATCGTCATTGAAGGTTTATTCGCTTCAAGCATCGTCGTGTGACTCGGATGGTCAATGACATGCATCAGAAGCTCTAGCGGCGAACCACAAGCAAGTTCTTCTACCTTCGTTCAACACGTCGGAGATGGCGCGAAAGTACGAGAAGCTTGTAACAGCTGACGGCACACCGCCGACTTCATCAGACGAAGTCACGGAGACTGCTGTTCAACCAAGAAAAGGAAAGAAGCGCGAGATTCGCAGTTCGACGGCGCGAGCTATGTTGGCGCAGTTGCACTTCAAGTTCAATATGCTGCTGAAATACAAGATGGAGTGCGTCGGCGGACGTATGATCGAATGCGAAGAGGAGTACACTTCGAAGACTTGCTCCAGCTGCGGTGAAATCAAAGACGATCTTGGAGGAAGCAGCATCTACAGATGTTTGTTCTGCCACGTCGAGCTCGATCGTGACGTCAATGCTGCCAAGAACATCTTCCACAAGAACATGCCAGCGCCTCTGCGACTTCAGCGGCATGGAGCTCATAACGCTACGGACTTTGCGCGCCAAATAATCTCACCCTGCAGCACAGTAAGCATTGCTGATACTCCCACCACCAATTCACCATACTCCGGTACGTACGCCAGTGCACCGACGCTTTTATCTTCTAGCCTGCCTATTATTACAGCTCTAAGTTATCGTATTGACCTTGACACACAGGAAATGACACGAAGCTCTCCGATTTCTCGTCACCCTGTGTTCTATGTAGTTTCAAGCCATTCGAGAACTCTACCGGTGCGATTGCAAGGCATTTATGTCGACTGGATGGGCATGCTCGCACGTCGTGGCTGCCATGTCCATTAACGAGCAGTTCGATTTGGACTTGGCAGCGACACGCCTCCCGACAAAAAAGCTCAGCGGTGGTCAGCGGAAGATCCCTAATGCCCTCCCTGACCATTGGCATTACGGGGGCAAAGATGTTTTCTACAAAGCTTTTCACACGCTTACAGAGAGAGCCCATGTACATTCATAACTGGCACGTGTGTAAGGACTTCATTTTTGAAGAAGATGGAGTAGAGACGACTGAGTTCATCACCGGCAGGATCAAGGGCGCTCAACTGAAGAATGGTGTGTACCAATGGAGCACGCTACTGAGCCCGGATAGAGGGGTGAAAATCTGTGCGGATCCGGTTCGGTTTTGTGTATGCCCGGTTACCCAAAAGAGACGGAATAACATATGCTCCGTCGTCATGTCGACGGATAAACTTCGAGAGCTGCTGTAAGATATTTTCAGTTGCGTGGTCCACATTTTTTTTAGATTTCAGATTTTTTAAAAAACAAAACGAGTGGTATTCGACGTTCGTCCCTCTCGAGAAGAAGGGGAAATTGTGATGAGGATCGCGGAAGCTCGCAGGAAATCTGGGACCGGTCGTGATGGTACGTGCGGCCGCACCCATGCTACTAAAGCGCGCTTTATTAATGTAAGCGGGCTTCATGCAGCTAGTGTACAAGGAAGCAGTCACAGGAATGGTGTTGGGAGAAATCCGTCTCGGTCCTGAGTGGTGCATGGGCTGCTCATTGCTGGACTTTTGCGAAAATCTGTGGTTGCACAGCTCTTCTATTATTTCAGCGATGTTGGCGCTGCAACAGATGTATCCTAAG